ATAAACCGTGAAAAGAGAATTACGCAAGGTAAAAAGAAGTCTCGCGCGCGGGCAGAATGATCGTTCGACAATGGCCGGTCGCCGATTGTTCCGAATATGGATCGTCACGTATAATTTCTACGCGGAATCGCGGTTACCAGAAAAATCCGTCCAGCATTCTTCCGTGGAGGATCGATGGTCGAAAGAAATTGGCGCGAATGCCGCGCCGGGGAAGAGAAAATCCTGCACGTTTGGCCGACCGCACGGACTGGTTCCGGCCGGAGAAAAACTACACAAGAAGAACCAGCGGCGGCAAGGGAAGAATACCACCCACCTCGACCACCACCGTAGCAATACGTGTACTCGTTATAGTCCATGGACGGCCTCTTGAGTAATCCCTCGCTAGGCACCAGGTCCAGCAACGCCGTGGGATCGCACATCGAGCCGAACTTTCCGTGATCTCCCTTCGTCATTGAACGAATACCATCTTCCCCTTAATCCTCTCACCGTGAAAACGCCGAGGAACCGACGACGGACACAGTTCGCAGGAAATATTCTATAGCGGCAGGGATTCGAAAGCGGACAAACGATCCTTCCGGTCTCGACTTCAAAGGGTTGATCGGCGACGTCGATGGATAGCGTCTGCGTACGACAAAGTACACACGAAACTCTCTCTCCTCCGCGAGTCCGAAATTAAACTTGGTCGCGTGTTCCCAGTGAAATACGATCGACCGTGGAAAGTTGTCCACCGGAATTGCCCGGGTACACCTGTTCTAAGCGCACCCTCTAGCCACTTTTGGGGCTGAGAGCAAAAAAGGGCAAGAAAAATCCTCCGTGGTTTTCCTTCGATGAACCGACCGATTGATTTAATCACGCGGATACGGAAAGTTCTTTCCAGCGTCGATGAATATCCCGGACATTTGCATTGGATACTCCGACCGGCCGTGAGGACGGATTTGCACGTAAACGGGTTGCGAAAACTCGACAGACACTACCGACTAACGGCAACTTTTTCGATCCGGTTGTTACGGTGTCTTCAAGCTATAGGGGGAAGAGATTGACGGCTTATCACCGGACACGTAACATCACCGGGGTTAATCAACAAATCACTCACTAGCTCATCCCCTAAGTAACCACGACGACGGACACCAACTTCGAAACAGCGATTCGTCACAAATCAAAACTGTCGCGCAGCAATCCGGGCCCAATCGCAGCTCCTTGCCGCGTTATCGCTCCGATAAGGGTTGAGTATTCGCTCCAGCGAAAGTTCAGCTGATCGATAGCAACCCCCGGAGGTAACCGTGTTTCTATCCGTTCTGCTCCGAAATCTCACTTCGGCTATCCACCAACGTTAATCACACACGATGATACACAAATTAGAGCACATTCGTGACCAAGTTCATTCAAGAATCCTCGGTACTAGATTCGCCGAAATCACTCGATGTACTATCCAGCGACGTTGACCCGCAACGTCGATCACGAGTGTCACGTGGATCCAGCGGGAACTCAAGTGTCCAATCAACGGTGCATCGAACGCGATCAATTAAAGAAAATAAACGTCGCGCAATGTTGCGTCTGTAGAATCGGGTAGACACGAATTCAAGGGAACTTCCCTCGTAACTGTGTCGACCCTGTCGCGTATCAAGTAAAAGACGAACCGCACGCTTGCGCGGTTACTGACAGACTGAGGATACAGAGCAAGCCGATGACTCCCGACACTGTGGCGGATGGAGCCGAAAGAAGAGTGGGGAGTAAACGAGCGGCAGGGAGATCTTTCGGGTAGGGGTGCTCGTGTAGGGCCGACCGTTCGGGGGCGTACGAAAAGGGTAGGGAAACGAAAGAGGGGAGGACAACAGCCGGTCCTCGCCGATCACGGGAACCACTGCTTCGCTGATGCTGCGGTGAATAGCATCGAAGGACGCGTCACGTTTTTGTTTCCGGCGTCGTCTTCATTTATCGATGCTTCTTTTATTCGAGTATAATTGAACACGGTTATCTCGCAACATTAAATCATATGGCTGTGTGAAGTGCGCGGTTAGTTTGTTATCTCGTGAAAACGAATTGTGTTCGAGGGTGATCTTTTCTTTTAATCTATATGGATAGTTTAGTATGATATGAAATGTGAATATCTTTGAAGTGTTGAAGTGTTGGCAGGAATGTTTCGTTGTTCAGGATTTTGAAGCGGTTAAATAGTGCGGTTAGATAGTTTTGAGAAAAGATTGTAGGATGGATTTGTTAAGTTTGGATTCAATGAAGTAGAGGGAATTATTGTATGAATGAGAGGGAAATTAAATGGATAAGTGGCAATGGAAATATTAAAGTGGAACATTGTTTGAAATAATATTCTAATGATATATAAAGATTTATATTTTCGGAGTAAAAGTATTTCTTTTCGTTAATCAATGTTTACAAATGGTTTCCCTTTACGGCGAGTAGAATGAAAACACTGAGAATTCATTTGTTTGTACACGTTCCTTTATAGATTTCTTGAATTTATGGCAATGTTTATCTGTCCTCATAGAGAGTCGTAACTTAATATTCTTCGATTATTTCTATGTTTCAAATGTTACGTAAATTATATGGATTAGATGAAATTATATTTTCAAATATTTTTATAATATTTTTTATGAAATGTGTTATTTTTGAGTGAACACGTGTTAGAAACATTGACTGTTGGATAACCCTCTGACATATTCGATTATTTCGAACATTTAAGATTGCACTGGAGTATGTGCTTTATCAGAACTTACATTTTAAGGCACAAATATTATTTTTCAAATAGTTTTATATCAATAATTATTGTACGACAATTATTTTGTACTTTTATATTGACAGTTATTTTTTATGTTTCATTTCGTTTTATTTTCATTCGAAATCTTTCGATTCGAATTTATAAGAATCTTAGCCGCGAACGATTTCGATGAACGATCACGATGTTTTGCGAATGTATTCGTGACGGGTGAAAGTTCAAAGCGTTCGTAATCTCTCAATACCGAGCTGTTGCGTGAATCTTCATGATTCAATTTTTTTTTTCCATACTATTGGAACACGAATTCTTTCCGTGAGGGGCCAGTTGTTTTTGTAAGAGTAAATTTTACTCAGACCCGTTTGAACGTGGAACGATCGGTTGACTCGTTTCAAAACATCGCCGCAGCGCGTGCGATAAATCGGCCCGTCACGAAAGTATTTTTGTAAAATCTAACCCTGCGTATGGAACGTTAACACGTTGAATGCTGCACCATTTTATAAAGTAAAATACACAAAATGGAAAAAATATGATATTGAATCATTTAATTGAATTGCATTATTATTATTGCACGTTCTTCTAGTTGAATGTCACGAAATTAGGTAACACTATTTGTAATATAGAAATGTTTCCAAATAATCGTCGTTTCATTGAGTGAACTATAGTAATTCAATTTGGTTGGGGTCACCGGTGACCCCCACGGTATTCAGCGTGTTAAAAATAAATTATGTTTTGGAATGTCAATTAAGACCTTTGGAATGTTAATTAGAAACGAAGAATAACTGTGTTGGTTCTTATTATAGCCTACTTTCTATACATCCTCTGCAAATCTTTCAGTGATGTAGCAATGAAAATTATATTTATGAATTATTTTAATTTTATGATCACGTGATTAAAAACTGTACAGAATACAGGGCTTCTATAAGTTGCAAGAAAATTCATTTTAACAATAGAAAGGTTTCAATGCGTTAAACGTACTATTTATGATGATTTTATATGTATATTTATAGAACATGTATATATAAGTATGTATGTAGCGTGTATCTGTATAAAACTTAATAATAATAATTCTTTCAATTTTTGAACGATTTAAATTTAGTAGTTTAAACCTGTTTCTGTTTATTTTATGTTTTTATCATATACTCAAAAGATTAATCTGATAATAAATAAAATATTTAACAACTACAATAGATAAATTTATCACAAGTAATTTACATACATAAAATCATGTAAAGAATCAAAAATCATTTTGATACTGACGTGATTTTATTCAGTGCGTGGGCTACAGTTGCTGAAGACTAGCGACATCTATATTACGTTTTGTGTCGTGCAGCTTACAAGCCAATGTTTCTTGTTTCTATCCTTCCATTCATATCACAGTTCCTTCCAACAACGTTAGTAAATAATAAAATTTATTTTTGAAAAGCAATATAACAATAAATAATTCATGGATATAAATTAATGTTTTAAGGTTTTCACAATTATCTTAATAACAACTAGTTCGTTACAGAGAATGGCAAAAAGAATGTCATATACATATTTTGAATGCATATGATGTGTATTATGTTAATGGGAACAAGAAGAACAAAGAGTACGTGAGCTTAAAATTCACATTTCATGTTGTTTTCGGTTCATAGGTGAAATTTATGTCACTGTTATCTTCTCTTCAATATCTTCGAAAGATTTGAATAACGTATTCAATTAAAACATATTTCATTGACTGTCGTAAATAAATATATTATATTCATTCAACGAAACTGATGACCTATTTATGCTATGAAAAATAAAAACTTGTTTTTATATGCGGCAGTATCAATTTTTTGATAAGATATCGATAACTATCGGCTATTCAAATTTTAGCATATTTTTGTTATATTTTCCATCTTTTATGTAAACTTGACGAAGGAGAACAGAAAATATCAATATGGATTCCCTTCTTTTTGACCAAAACTGGTTCCTTTTATATCCTTCAATTTAATATAAATTCCATCTAATCTTTAGCGTTGGTTCAACAGATAATCTGAGGTTCTGTTCCAAAAATTCGTTTTCTCATTATTTATAGTAGATACTTTTAATACTTAAGACATTTTCAAGGAATGATTTAGTATTATAACATTATCCATTATGTAAAAAAATATATTATTTAATCCAATTTATGTAATGTCACCAATGATGCTTGTAGTGTGTAAATATGATTACAAAACAAAAGACTTTCAAATAAATTTACTTTAACAAAAAAAAGTACTTTTCAATCGTTAATCCTCATACACTCGTTCAATTATATTGTCTGACATAATTATTGATCTTATATAATTTCAATACTGTTGATGTATAATTAACACAAAAGTTTTATTTTGATCCGAATAGAAACTCCCCATTCATAAACAGTATTTCCATTGAATTAGCTTCCTCAATAACGTTATTCGCAACTTATCACCGATAACCGAAGAATTATTAACGTCATTTGCCTAGTCTTGCGTTTCGCCAGTTCTTGACAAAGCGTTCTTCTTATTTTTAGCGAGTGGAAGCCTTTATCAAGTGGTTGCTGGTTGATAGTGTCCAGCGCGACTCATCTTCTATTTTTGTCGATTTTCCTTTCCCTTTGTTGCGAGCAGCCGACTTCTTTCAATATTTCCAGCGAGTTTACCCCATTCATGGAATTTACAGTCAACTTAATGCCTCCGTAATACATCGCGAATGCCACGAGGGAGGGAGAAAGAGATGAAGAGATGGAGAGAGAGTTAACCAGTCAATGGCTAGTATAACGAGATTCGAATGGACCACAGGCAACTTTGGTGCGCGCTTGTGAACAGTCACCAACAGGAAACGTATTTATAAACAATACCGTTGCACTCACCTTTCTTTGCTAATTGTTCAACGTGCATAGAACATTAAATGTTTTAGAACTTAGTTATAGATTTAACTATTATCCAGACTGGATCATTTTTTAACAAACTTTTGCTCCTTTTAATCCTTTAGTTATATGCATTTTTTGGTGGTATGAAATTAACTGTAAACAGATTGGTAAACTGGCCGAAGTTAATGTGTATAATAGTAAAAAACAAAACAAGACTAAAATGATTTATTTCATTGTGGAACTCAAAACGACGACTCTTTAGATTTCGTCATCATTTGTAAGTTTTTCTTATTTTATAGACTTCGAGTTTTTATAAATTTAGAAGCTTTTGATTTGCTAAATCTTATAAACACAGTACTGATCTTACTTTGTATACTGATGAAATAAGTTTGTTTTATATGTTGATGTTTCTCTTGTAATGCAATTACTCTTCAGTATATATTATTATTTACGAGATACTCTTTATACGTTTCTGTTCATAAATTACAAACATCTTTAGTCTTCAACGAGTTCCCTTCCTGAAGGATTTCATTATAAATCATGCCTAAGGGAATTCCATCTAACATGTAGTTTCGTTAATGAAACAAGAAGATATATACAGAACATTTTCATGTATCTGAATATTCATCCGAGTTCTACTTCTATCTTATTCCTGCCGTACCACTTTTTTTTCACGTGTTACCTTTCGTCGTATTCATTATTCTATCCAATATTGTTCAATTAACAATGTTAGAAAATTGAGGATCGAAATATTTAATTCGCATATTGCTTTATCGAATAAATATGTACATGTGAGTGTGTTCATTCGAGTTTAATAACTCGTACGCAATTTTGTACGTAATATACGTAAAAGTGAAAATTGAAAATAATAATATAGTCATAATATTCACAACACACGCACTTCACACATTCGTTATATCAAGTTGAATAAATTTAGCATACTTGTAATCCGTGAATATATTAATTTCATATTTATTATAAGAAGCAAAGAATACAAAATTTCAAAGTGCTGTTTGTATATATAAATATTAGTAACTTTGTACTAAAGATTTTTTACTTGAATAAACTTAACAACGGTATTAATAACATGATAACACGA